TAGCTCTCCGCCACAGGACTGACTCTAACCCCTCCGCATGGCCTTCAAGGCAGCCCTGGCCTGCCCTGTCTGTCTTTCCGGCCACCGCCTCCCTGTTTGGCCCAGTCATTCCTCAAGTGCCCTGGGCCGTTTCCTACTCTGTACCCTGGCAGGTGCCGTCCCCTGCACGACAGCCCTGCCTTCTCTCTGCGCCCAGCCTGCTCAGCCTTCAGGGCCCTGTTCTAGAGCCTTCTCCTCCATGACGCAGCCGCTAAGCTGTCTCTCCTGTCCCCCGTGCCGCCCTTGGCCAGGCGCACCTGTTACGGCTCACGTCAGGCTGTGCCGAGACGATTTGCTTGCACGCCCGTCGCCAGGAACTCCTGGCCGTCCCTCCTCTTCCTCCAGGAAATCCCTCCTGACCCCTCCAGCCCACAGTGGCAGCCGCCTCCCGTGAGCTCTTCACTCTCTTGTAACCCAGTGGAGGCACCGTTTTCAAACTCGATTGTTTCTCGTCTTGTCTTCAGTACTGTCGCGAAGATAGTCTTGCCTCTCCAGCTGGAGCTGGTGTAAAAGCCCCTCGCTCGCAGGGACCGTGGCCTCCGTGGTCCTGTTCCCTGGAAGTGGACATTTAGTGGGCAACCGGGTGCCAGGCACTCCTGCGCCTGCCGTGTGCTTCCATCCGTCCTGCCAACTCTGAAACCGCCGTTTCCGTTTTACAGGTGAGGCCGCAGCTCAGGAGGGCAAGGCGCTGGAGCCAGGCAGGTGCCAGTGGGGGGCGAGGGTGAAACCCAGGCCAGCCAGGCTCCCAAGCTGCTGCTCTGCTCTGGGCCAAGGCTGGGCCTGCGAAAGACTTGCTGGGTTGGACTGGGCTGATGGGCACCCGCCCAGCGCGTGTCTCCGCACATGTGGCAGTGTTTGATTTTTCCAGCAAACTCCAGCACATGCAAGTTGGAGGTGGCATTGAGGGGAAACAGCTCGTGTTGGTCCTGGCTCCGGCTCCGGGGAGGCGTCCAGGGCCGTGGGGGCCTGGCAGGGAGCTGGGCGGCCGGGGGGGCAGTAGGCGAGTCTCTGCGGTCATCCCAGGAAGCCCGTGGCTGTGACCTGTGACGGCTGCCTGAGGGCACGGCCCTCCCCGGCAGCAACAGCTCCTCACACATTTTCCGGGCCGTGTTGGAGTGAGTGGCGCCGAGCACCGGAGTTACCGCTCACCTTGCTCAGATCTCGTGTAACTGCCATCCCCTCTCGGGTCCTTATTTATTTTCCTCATCTACGGAATGGGCATGTAGGCAGGCGCCTCTCGAGGGTTTCCGGGGGGAGATCGTTTGCAAGGATGCCTGTGACGGTGCCTTGATGATGAAAAGGTCCCGTGTCCTTTTGGGAGGCTTTGCCGTCTTCTCCGGGAGCCCGAGGATGGACAGTCCCAACTCGCAGGTGTGGACAGGAGCTTTCGGCCATGGATGGGTTTGCTGTCTTCAAACAGCTGGACCCGGTGATATTAAGTGAGGTTTTGGTAAGCCCGGCAGCCCTTCCACCCAGTAGACGGAAGCCAGCAGAGAAGAGGCTAAATAATTGGAATTTAAGGCAAAAAGATGGAGAAGTTAACGGTGAGGAAGTGGAGAAAGATCATCACGTCATTACTAGTTTAGGGGACCGGAGAGGGACGGGCAGTTGCCCAAAGTCACCACAGTGCAGGTTGGTAGAGCTGACGATGACAGGGTAAGGACAAGACAGACCAGGCATGAAGGAAAGAAGGAAAAGAAACCCCGGCGACCACTGTGTATTTCATCTACTCCGGAACAGGTGCTCCGCCTGTGCCCACAGCCAGTCCTCCCGGCGGCCCACAGGGGCGAGCACCCCCATCACCGTTTTCAGACGTAGAAATGGACTCCTGGCCAGGCGGCCCCACTAATCACACTTGAACCCAAGTCCCACACCAAAGCCGGGTTCCGGCCACACAGCCCTCCCACTCTGCGTGCGTGAGTTTGTGGAGAGTCGAGTGTCGGCCGGGGCAGCAGCTCTTTTGAGGCCCCAGAGAGCCGGGCAGGGCAGATGGCCAGGCTGGCGCTGGGTGCCAGTTGTCAGCCCCGGCCCGTGTGCAGCCAGGTGTGCTGCGCCGGGGCATGCTGGCCTGGGGATCAGGTGGTGCATGCTCGCCACCCAGACCTCGGTTTCCCCAAATGCAGGTGTTGATTGATCCCTGAGGTGCTTCCCGAACCCACACTCCTGGCCTCACGCCTCAAGGGGGGGTGTCTGGATTGAGGTTTGGTCCCGGGAGCTGGGCCCTTCCCTTTCCCCCAAGGTGTGAGCTACCCGGGCAACGTGGGGCCAGCTGTCATGGCAACCGAGTGTTGCGAAATGACGTAATTGGAGTTCCAAACGTGTGAAATCAAATACAACATCCGCAAACACAGCCTGGGGGTCGGCATGGCAACCGCAGGGCACCGGGACAGGCAGGCGCTCTCTGCCCTGCAGCAGCTAGCCTGGCCCGGCACCTGGGTGGGCACGGAGGGCACCCTGCCCCCCTCCATACAGGGCCTCCACCCCTTCTCTTCCCTCCTCCCCACTTCTCCCCTCCCCTCCCCTTCCCTTCCCTCTTCCTCTTCTCCTTCATTCCAGGAGGCAGTGGGCCCAGGTGGTTAGGGAAGTCGGCTTTAGAATCAGACGGACATGGGTTCACGTCCTGCCACCTACCAGTTGTGAGGTCTTGGACAATCGGCTTCACCTTCTGAACCTTACCCCCCTGTAAAATGGACGTATTGATAAAACTCACCTTAGAGTTTTGCTGGGAGGCCGGGGAAGAGAGCACAGGTACCTGGTACATGGGGCGAGTTGGATGTGCGCTAGTATCCCGTACTTCCCCCTCTTCCCTCCCTGCTGTTCTTCCTTTCCCTGCCTTCCACCTGCAGGGCCCCCACCAGCACCAGGAGCGGCAGTGGCCTGGAGCCTGGACACCCAGGTGATCCGTCAGGCCCTGCAGGGCTTCGCCATGTGCTCTCATAGAGGGGCCTCCCCTCCATAAAATAAGGGCACGGCCCCTGGGCCACCTGCATCTGCCACACCCAGGCACCAGTTTACAGTGCGGATTCCTGGACTCTTCTCCCTTCATATTCTGATTCAGTAGGTCTAGGGTGGGGCCCGGGAATCTGAGTTTTAACAGGCTTTCCAGGTGAACCTCAGGGACACCCCAGTGTCAGAAACTCTGGACTAGATGGTTCCTGTGACTTATATGCCTGGCTCTGATTGGCGCCCAAGACCAAAATGCCTGGCTCTGATTGGCCCTCAAGACCCACATGCCTGGCTCTGATTGGCACCCAAGTCCAAAATGCTTGGCTCTGATTGGCCCCCAAGACCCACATGCCTGGCTCTGATTGGCACCCAAGACCAAAATGCCTGGCTCTGATTGGCCCCCAAGACCCACATGCCTGGCTCTGATTGGCACCCAAGTCCAAAATGCCTGGCTCTGATTGGCCCTCAAGACCCACATGCCTGGCTGTGATTGGCTACCTTCCAGGCTCATTTTATTTCACAGCGGGGAGTGCAGCCTTCCTCTGGCTTCCATCTCTGTCTTTGCCGTTCATTCCATCAACAATGTCTGTGTCAGGCCCTGTGCCAAACACTTACCTGTCCCACACCAGGGAAGAACCGGCACTGCCTTGTGTGTCTGGGGGTGGGGCTGAGCAGGTAGAGACTGACAAGTCTCTCTGTGACTCAGTTTCTTCATGTGTAAAGTGGGGATAATGATTGGATGATGAGAGTGTCCTGCCACTCCCCAGCTGGTGAGGGGCTCTGTGTGAGGATGACAAGGACACGCTCTCTGCGTCCTGTGGCACGCCAGGCACCATGCCAGACGCTTTGCATAGTTAACTTGTTTGATGCTCCCAGTAACTTTTAAGGTGGGGGCTATTTCCTTTCATTTTACGGTTGGGGAAACTGAGGCTCAGAGCGGTGACTTGACTCACCTGAGATCACTCAGCAAGTGCCCAGTTTGGGATCTGACTCCTTCCCTGGCTCACGTTCCCCTCCAGTGACTGCTGTCCCCCTGCCGCTCCTCCCCCCTTCCCTCCCCCTCCTTTAGCCCCTCCACCCCCCTCTCCCTCTTTCATAGAAAGGTCTAGAGGTCCAGAGGAGTTTTCCACACTGGCTGACTCTATGTCTTCACTTTCCAGGCACTCCTTACCTGCTATGGTCCGTGTCCCCACCCTCCAATCCCACCAAGGTTCCCAAGGACCGTTGTCACGGACGGCACCCGGTGGTTTGACCTCTCGGCAGCCTTGACGCTGGAGCTGCCCCCGCCCTCCACCCTTTGCAGCCCACTCTTCTCCTGGGCTTTGCTTGCCTCAACCTCTCCTGGGTTTCCTCACTCTGTTAATTTAAAGAATTTTTTAAAAAACAAACCTTTGTTGAGCACGTGCCATGTGTCTGTGCTGTGCTGAGTAGGGGGGGTGGTGGACAGACCTCCCGGTCCTCGTCCTCCCCAGCGTGGAGCACAGTGGGCTGTCCCTGGTCTGCACCTCGGCTCCCTGCTGTGGCGTCCCCCCTTCCCTGCCGGCTGCTTCTCCCTCTGCACGCTCTTTCTTGACAGTCTTATCTGCTCCCGTGGCCTTAGCCACCAGCTACAGCCTGAGGACCCCCCAGCCTCCAATCCAGAACCTTCTACAATGAACTCAGCCTGGGATGTCCACAGGACACCTGGATCCCACCGCCTGCCCTAACTGTTCTCAGGACTCCAGGCACCCCCTCCAGGTCCCCCTTCCTCAGAGCTGCCACAGTGCTTTCTCTAGGTCACACTAGTCCACTGGTGTGACTTAGAGAAAGCTTCTTAGTGCCACAGGTGGAATCCTCACTCTTTCGCCCACCCAACTCCTACTCGTCCTGTGAGTCTCAGCCCAGGACCACCTCCTCCAGCAAATCCTCCAGGATTGACCCAGTGGCTCTGCTCTGTGTGTCCCAGCACAAGGGCTCCCATCCAGCATTGTGAGGTAGAGCCCGGGCCTGGCACAGAGCAAGGCCCCAGTGAATGTGCCTCGCATGGAGACCCCGTGGCTGCAGGAGCTCACGAACGTCTAGTCCAAACCTCTTGTTTTACCCATGGGGACACAGAGGCCTGAAGTCTCAAATGGCATTAGCATCAGAGCCAGGACTCCATCCCAAGCACCTGGATCCCATTTCAGAGTCTGCCCCATCAGAGCACAGGGCCAGGAAGGTAAAAGCCCTTATCTTGAGCCATTACCTTGCTCTCGAACTCCTGGCCTCAAGCGATCCTTCCGCCTCAGCCTCCCAGAGTGCTAGGATTGTGGGACAGTGGCTGGCACACTGAAGTATCCATGACCCCATCATATCTGGGCTTATTTTCCTCTGGATGGGTGCAGCCAGTTCTCTGTGCGTGTCCAGCAGGGTGTTCCTCACGGTGAATAAGTGAGTCTTCACCAAGTGCCCGCTGTGCTTGGCCTGGGCTTTCATGCGCATGATCTCGCCTCCCGTGTCGTGGGGGAGGAGCCAGGAGGGATGGGGAGGACAGAGGATTTCCTCAAAGGGGGGGTCACGGCATGGCACCTTGGCGTCTTCCCGAGTGCCGGCGCACAGCAAGTGCTTGCTGAGACTGCTCGGCATGGAGGATGTGCTGGTTGGGCCCCCTGAGCCTGCTGAGCTGAGCTTGGTTAGAGAGTGACTGGAACACCACAAATGCTCAGCTCCATCGCTGGGCCAGCTGGGCGGGTGGCCCCAGCTTCTCCAAGGACTCAGGGGCCTGGGCTCTCCTCCTGAGTCCCACCTGGCTGAGCCCTTCTAGGATGGGGTCTGGCGCGTCATGGTGCCCCAGTCTCCAGCACTGGCCCCCCAGGGCCCTCGCACATGCTGAGGGAGTGACTGAACTACCTGCGCCACCCTGGAGGTGGCCACATCACTCAAGCCCCAGTCTCTTCGTGCCAAAACAGGGATGCTTTCTCTCCCCCGTGCACATGGCTTAAAGCCCTTAAGGGTGGGCACTTCTTGAGCACTTACTGTATGCCAGGCCCTGTTCTAACACTTCCCATGTGCAAACTCGTTAAGTCCTCACAACTGCTCTTTGAGGTCGGTACATTTCAAGCCCCATTTTACAGCTGAGGGAACCGAGGCCCAGAGAAATTAAGTAGCTCATCCAGAGTCCTGTAGCTGGTGAGTGGCAGAGCCAGGATTTGAACCCAGACCACATGGCTATACAGCCCATACTCCTAACAACTAGGCTCTATGGCCTTTTCTTTCTTTTCTTTTTTGAGACAGAGTCTCGCTCTATTGCCGAGGTTAGAGTGCTGTGGCGTCATCCTAGTTCGCAGCAACCTCAAACTCCTGGGCTCAAGCGATCCTACTGCCTGGAAGGCCTTAAAGGGATGATGCCTCCCTAGTAGCTGAGACTACAGGCCTGTGCCACCATGACCAGCTAGTTTTTTTCTATTTTTAGTTGTCTAGCTAATTGCTTTCTGTTTTTAGTAGAGATGGGTCTGGCTCTTGCTGACCTGGTCTTGAACTCCTGGCCTCAAGCGATCCTCCTGCCTCGGCCTCCCAGAGTGCTAGGGTCACAGGCGTGAGCCACCATGCCCGGCCCTCTGTGGCCTTTGTGATTGGTTTCCCATCTTGGCACAGAGCTGTTGCAACATAAGAAGGAGCTGCTGTTGTTTTTCTTGCTAAATGGCAAACCCACAGGCATGGCTGGAGATAGAACCTCATTTCAGGGACTTGATTTGAGGAAAGTGTGAAGAGGGGGCATGGTGAGGATCTTAGTTTGACCAAGAATTTGCAAAGGGCAAATTGCATGAAGACGTGAATCTAATCGTGTTTTGTCCGTTAGTTGGCCTGGAGCTCAATCCTCTTCTCCATGCTTCTGTGGGAGCGACGGGAGCTGGCCGACCTCCCAGGGCTGTGCAGACCTGCCCTTCCCGGGGGGCTGGCCGCTGCGTAGACAGGGGGGCTTGGGAGCCCCTCAGCTGCCCCGTTAGGGCTTGCTGCATCTCCTACCCCAGCCTTGGCCGCTGGCCCTGGGACAGGTGGGGGTGGGGGCACCAGCGTGGGGAGGGGTCGGGGCCGAGCCGTGGCGACTCTGCTCTCGTCGGCCTGCAGCCTGCGTGAGTGAGCAGCAGACCTGGTGCAGTCGGGGCAGACTGAGGGGTGCCCTTTCTCACCCGGCAGTTTCCTGCAGCGCTGCCTGGTGTCTGGGAGGTGCTGAGTCCCGGGAGATAGCAGAGTCTAGTGGGCTGGAGCAGGGGGAGTGGAGGCTGGGCTGAGGGAGGCAGGTGGAGGCTGGTCTGGCCAAAGCTGTGGGCTAGGGTTCTGTGGGAGTCGGGTTCTTGTCCTGCCTCCCACCCCAATGGCCTTGGGAAAGTCACTTCTCCACCCAGAGCTCTGCTTCCTTGTCACTAAGATGGAGGTCAGAATCCTGCCCTGTGGGATCCTTGTGAAAATGAAACGGGAGCACAGATGTAGGGCTAAGTGCAAGGTGTAAGCTATACAAAGTCTGGAAGAAAGGTGGCTCCTGTTACCACAGTTCATACCAGGGGCTCTAACCAGTGGGCCAACACGCTGGGTCTGTATCTCCAAGAAGTGGGCACATCATCAAGCCTCGACAATCAGAGAATTCCATCCCTCTGACCACAGGGATTGGTTCAGGGATAGACATGTGACCCAAGCTCGGCCAATGACACCAAGTTCTGGGACTTTGGTTGGACCCATTGGGAAAGAGAGGCCCTCCTTCTGCTGGGGTTGATGAGGGGATAGGAGACCAGCCAGGAGCCGCCGGTTGGTGGCCGTTATGCCTCCACAAGGGAAGAGACTGTCCCTCTGAGGATTAGGCTGGTCCAGAGGTGGAGAGAGGGAGATTGAGGCCTAATTTAATGGCTTGATCCTCTGCAGCCAGCCTTGCCTGAGATCAAAGCACACTTGTGTATGTGAGTCAATCTTTTCTTTTTAAAGTTTATTTCTGTCTCTTGTAATCAAGTGGTTCTAAGTAATGAAGGTCAGTTCAAGGCTGTGACAAGCCTGGTAGATTTTGTTCTGAAATGCTTGGTTTTGGGGGAGTGGATTAGACACACTCAGTAGATGAGCCAAGAAATATCCTTCCCAGAATGCAGCTGGGGAAGGGGGAGGCTTCCTGAGGGTCCCGTGCTAGAGGCGACAGTGATAACTGTGGTCATGGCCGTGTCATTGACAGAGTCATTCATATGGCTGTTCAAAGGCACTTATAGAGCACCTACTACACAGGTGTGCCAGACAGTGGGCGCGACACGGCCCCTGTCTGCACGAAGCTTAGTGGGAAGATGCACATACATCAGTGATGACAAGTGGCCTGGGTGGCCCTGGGGGGGAAGAGAAGGCTGCTGTGGGTGCATGTGATGGGGCTGGGAGAGGCTTTTCTGATGAAATGACATTTAAGCTGAGATATGAAGGAGGGGAAGGGTTGCCTGGGGAAGGGGCCTGTGCTGGGGGCAGGGTAGGGGCAGAGGGCATGCCAAGCAGATCTGCCAGCGTGTTGGAAGGATTGGATGAAAGGAAATGCCTCTCTCGGTCTGCAGTGGGGAGAGTGGGGGGTGGCAGGGAGGGAGGCTGAGTGGGGCCAGAGACCACCGGTAGGCCTTAAAGGGAGGATGCTGGCCAGGGAGAACAGCAGGGCCCCTGCAGGGGGAGGGGGAGTAGGAAGAGGGATGGGATGAGGGTCACGGGAGTGTTTGGGGTGGCCTTCAGCTGGAGAAAGTTGTCTAAGAACCTTGCCATGGAGCTGCCGTTGGAATCTTCCAGCTGTCCGGGGAGAGGGCTCCGGCTCGGGGGTGGTGGGGGTGTATGGGGGCCTGGGGAGGAGGACCGGGTGAGAGTGAGTGTTCCCTCGCACCATCCCTGAACACCCGGCACCCAGGCCAACGACGTCATCTGCACCCCAAGAGCCCCCCTTGGGCCCCACTCCATTCTCTAGCCATCCCTCAAGGGAAGTCACTGCCCTGGCTTCTGTTAACATGGGTGAATGTTGCCTATTTTTGTGCTTTATATAAATGGAATCACACAGTACATCTCTTTTTTGTGTGTGGCTTCTTCCTTCCAGCCTCTTGTCTGGGAGAGCCACCCACACTGGTGTGTGCAGTCGTAGACGGCTCATGCTCGCTGCCAAGTCAAAGTTACCGCGTGACTGTCCCGCAAGTTATTTATCTATCCTACTGTCAACGGACACGTGGGTAGTTTCCAGTTTTTGGCTGGTACGAATGATGCTGCTAAGAACATTCTCGTGAATGCCTGTTGGGGCACGTGGGCACTCATTTCTGTTGGGTTAAACCGACAGATGGGATTACTGGGCCATGGAGTATGTACATGGTCACTTTAGTTAATTCTGCCAGCTTAACTAAGCAGTTGTGCCCTTTTATACTCCACCAGCTGTGAACGAGAGTTCCAGTTGCTCTCTATCCTTGCTGACACCTTATTGTCAATCTTTTCATTTTAGTCATTCTTACGAGCTTGAAACAGTAACCCCTTGTGGTTTCAATCTGGCCATTGGATAAAAAGTACTTTGGCAAAACGCTTGTGTCCATTTCTTCTGCCCATTTTTATATTGTGTTGTCTTCTTTTCTTATTGGTTTGTAAAGTTCTTTTTATATTCTGGCTGTAAGTTCTTCATCATATGTACACGTGTGTGTGTGTGTGTGTGTCAAATATTTCCCCCCACTATTTAGCTTGTCTTTCTACTCACTTAGTGACGTCTTTCGATGAATGGAAGTTCTAAATCTAAAAGTGCCGAATTCATCAATTATTTTCTCTTATGATTAGTGCTTTCTGTTTAAGAAATTTTTGCCAGCCCAGAGGCCATGAAGGTATCTTTTATGTGTAGAAGCTTCGTTGTTTTATCTTTCACGTGCAGGTGGGCACTTTATCTGGAATGATTTCAGGCATGGTGTGTGAAGCAGGAGTGTTTTTCTCCAGGTGCAAACCCGGTTGATCCATTGCTGAAAAGACTTTCTGCACCCCACTGCAGTGTCGCCTTTGTCGTGCGTCAAGCACCGCGTGTGTGGTCTGTCCTGGGCTCTCTAGTCTTCCTCTTGGCCCGTCTGTCGCGGCACCAACGCCATGCCATCTTAATCGCCGTAGGTTTGCAACAATCTTGGCATCTAGTGGTGCCGTCCTCTAGCTTGCTCTTCCTCAGGTTAGGCTTGGCTATGCTCAGTTCTTTGCTTTTCCAAACATATTTTAGAATCATTTTGTCACTTTCTATGCACGCACACACACACGCACACACACGCACGCACACACACAAACAAATAACTTGAGATTTTTTTATGCTGATTTTATTGAACTTCCACATTAATTTGGTGAGAATTGATGTCTTTATGATATTAAATTTTCTGATTCATCTTATATATTTTTTAAAAAAATAAAGCTGATTTTTTATTATATTTTTCTTTATAGAAGTTACAAGGCAGAAAAATTGGAAATGCAGACATGTAGAAAGAAGTCATTTTCTTTCATTTTCATTTAACACCTGTACCCACCAGTGCTAATGTGATGGTGTGTCTCCTTCTGGTCTTTTCTACAGATTTTATTTTACTTACTTAGCGGCCCATTGTGCATTCCATTTTACACTTAACTTTAGAATACAAGTTATTTTTCGTGTTATTTCAAACTCTTCATAAACATATATTTCAATTACTAGCAAGCCATTTATGAGTTGGAATTGCATAGTTCACCTAACTACTTCTCTGTTATTGGACACGCAGATTATTTCCAAACGTTTGCTTCATGAATGACGCAGTGGTGACATCTTTGCAGAGGAGTCCTCATCTGGATCTGATTATGAGAGACGCCCAGTAAGGAAGTTACTGGGCCAAAGGTGTGGACCTGTCAAGGCTCTTGAGCCTTATCATGGAGCCAGCCAGTGGCACAGCCGGGGCTGTAAGCGGAGAGCCTGACCCCATGTGGTCCCTGCCCTCAGAGACCGAGTCCCTTGCATCGGGGCTCCTGGCAGTGCATGGGACATGGCCTCCTTCCTGCAGGTTCAGGATCATTCTCAATGGCCCCATCCCAGGCTTGTCCCACCAGGTAACCATGGTATTCAGGGGAACCATGACCCCAGGTGGCAGGTGGAGCCACCTGCCCTTACTGAGCTGGGTCAGTGAAAAGACAGCCCTTCGCTGGGCCCTGTGGGAACATGGCTGAGGGACACACACCTGCTGGTGAGACTCTGCCAAGGTTTCCTGCGTGCTTGCCACATGCGGGGCTGTGGGAGTGGTGGGACGTGGGGTATGGGGTGAGAAAGTCATTGTGTCCTATGCAATTGTGAGCACGAGGTGACTTCATTTCTGTGAGCCTCAGTTGCCTTATCTGTTAAAATGGGACAAACACAGCCATCTCAAAGGGCTGCTGAGAGTTTAAACAAGACTAAGTGGAAGAAAGGCCGTTTTCAATGGCTCGGGTCCGGAGCTCACACTTAGGCATTCAGGGGGAAAACCTTTCATATAGCACAGCTAAGGAATGATCTCACCATCTTCTTAGATTCTTTCCTGTTTCTTCCCCCAGCTGCAAGGCCCTCCCTCGGCTAGCCTAAGGGCCTGTGGCCTGGTTTCTTCTGCTTCTAAGATTGCCTGTGGTTTTCTGACCAGGCATCAGATGGACATGTGTCCTCCATTCTTGATGGCTCTCAGACTCTGGGCAAGAGTCGTAGGGACCCTGGTCAGCATCTCAGTGGGGCTTGCCAGTTGTCCTAGGACTGTCCTACTGTCTCGTCTGAGATCGGCTTGGTGATTAGCACTCAGGACAACTACTCTCTGCTCCACTTCTAGGTTCCCACCCAAGGCTTGTCTTGGCAATTCCCATGGCAGATGTCACCTCTTGCTCCTGGTCATGATGGTAGGTGATGCCATCAGAGGTCCCATCGAATCATGGCTCCCCACGCTGGACGAAGTGGTGGTGGCAGCACAAGGGTATGCTCCCGTAAGGTCAAATCTCCCACCCTGAGCTGCCTAGCTGTTCCTCTCATCAACTCACCGCTTGGGACAGAACCAGCCGGACAGGGGCAGACTGCTGCAGACATCTCCTGGGTTTCCTGCATGTAGAGGATGAAAAATGGTGAGCAGAAAGAGCCCAGCAATGACCTTCTACAAGGCAGGTCCTTGTTCTGGTCTACCAGCAGGGCCATGGTGCAGGGATGGGGGCAGGAGGGAGGTGGGCGGACACTCGAGTGTCTGTGCGTCTGTTCCAAGTCCTGGTGGGTTCTGGGCACCACACCCTAAGGGTTTTCTGGCCACCTGTCCGCTAGTCAAAGCTTGCCTCTGTCCCTCAGCAGCTGTGTGACCTTGAACAGTACATGCAACTTCCTTAAGCTTTAATTTCCTCTTCCAATAAAGAGGGTGCATAAAATATCCCTCCTTAAAATGAGGGTGATAATAATCTCTATAAAATAGCAGTAATAATAATCTGTCCATATAGGGTTTTTCTTTTAAATTAATAGACCTTATTTTTTTGGAACAGTTTTAGGTTGATAGAAAAATTGAGCAATAGTACAGAGAGTTCCCACACGCCCCTCCTACACAGGCACACACACACGCATGCAGTTTCCCCTTTTAACACCTTGCACTGTGCATTTGGTATAACTGATGAACCGATATTGACATGTTATGGCTATGTAACATGTGTAGTTTACGTTCGGTTTTGCTCTTTGTGTTGTACAGTTCTGTGGGTCTTGACAAATGCGCAATGTCACGAGTCCTCCAGTACAGCATAAGGCAGAGGCGTTTCACCTCCTAAAAATCCCACGTGCTTCCTGTTCAAATCTCTTCCCGCCTCCCCCGCCCCCTGCTACAAGAACCTCTGGAAAGCACCCATCTTTTAATTGTCTCCATAGTCTTGCCTTTTCCAGAATGCTTCATAGTTGCAATCGTACAGTGTGTAGCCTTTTTAGATTGGCTTCTTGCACCTAGTAACATGTGTTTAAGGTTCCTCCACGTCTTTTTGTGGCTTGACGCTCATTTCTTTTGATTGCAGAATGACATTCCAGCGTATGACTGTACTGCTGCTTGTTTATCCATTTACCTTCTGAGGAACATCTTGGTTGCTTCCGGTTTTGGGCGGTTATGAGTAATAAAGCTTCTATAAACTTTGTAAGTTTTGAACTCATTTGGGTAGAGACCTAGGAGCAGGATTGCTGGATCGTATGGTAGACTACGTTCAGCTTTGTGAGAAACTGCCAGACTGCCTTCCTAAGTGGCTGCACCACTTTACGTCGCTCCCAGCAATGAGTGAGAGTCCCTGTTGCTCTACATCCTTATCAGCATTTGGTGTTACCAGTGTTTTGGATTTTAGCTGTTTTAATAGGAACGTGGTGATATCTCACTGTTGTTTTAATTTGCAGTTCGCTAATGGCATACGGTGTTGGGCATTTTTTCCACATTCTTGTTTGTCCTCTATATATCTTCTTTGGTGAGGTGCCTGTTCAGATCTTTTGCCCAATTTTTAATTTGGGTTTTTGTTTTCTTATTGTTGGGTTTCAGAGTTCTTTCTATGTCTTGGATGGAAGTCCTTTACGAGATATGTGTTTTGCAAAAATTTTCTCACCATTTGTGGTTTGTTTTTTCATTCTCTTCACAGTGTCTTTCACAGGACAGAAATTTTTAATTTTAATGAAGTCCAGCTTATTAATTTTTTCATTCATGAGTCATGCTTTTGGTGTTGTCTCTAAAAACTCATTGCCAGACTCAAGGTCACTTAGGTTTTCTCCTGTGTTATCTTCTAGGGGGTTTATGGTTTTGTGTTTTACATTTAGGTCTGGGATCCATTTTGAGTAAATTTTTGTGAAAGGTGTACAGTTTGTGTCTAGAGTCATTTTTTTCTTTTGCATATGGATGTGCAGTTGCTCCAACACCATTTTTGGAAAATACTGTCCTTTCTGCATTGATTTATCTTTGCTCCTTTGTCAAAGGTCAGTGGAGTATATTTGTGTGGGTCAATTTTTGGGGCTGTCTTTTCCTTTGCTCAAGCCACAGTGTCTTGAACACTATAGCTTTGTGGTTAGTCTTTTTTTTTTTTTCTTGAGACACAGTCTCACTCTGTTGCCCGGGCTAGAGTGCTGTGGCATCAGCCTAGCTCACAGCAACCTCAAACTCCTGGGCTCAAGCAATCCTCCTGCCTCAGCCTCCCTAGTAGCTGGGACTACAGGCACGCACCACCATGCCCAGCTAATTTTTTCTATATATTTTTAGTTGGCCAATTAATTTCTTTCTATTTTTTAGTAGAGATAAGGGTCTCGCTCTTGCTCAGGCTGGTTTCGAACTCCTGACCTCGAGCGATTCGCCTGCCTTGGTCTCCCAGAGTGCTAGGATTATGGACGTGAGCCACTGAGTCTGGCCTGTGGTTAGTCTTGAAATCAAGTAGTGTCAGTCCTCTGACTTTGTTCTTATTCAGTGTTGTGTTGACTATTCTGGATTTTTTGATTTTTAATATAAATTTTGGAATCAGTTTGTTGATATCTACAAATAACTTGTTGGGATTTTAATTGGTATTGAATTTAATCTAAAGAGAAAATTGGGAAAAACTGGCATCTTAGCAATATTGAGCATTCCTATTCATGAGCATGGAATAGCTCTCCATTTATTTAGATCTTCTTTGATTTCTTTCATAAGTGTTTTGTAGTTTTCCTCATATAGATCTTATACATATGTTGTTAGAGTTATACCTAAGTATTCTAGGTATTTCATTTTTTGGTGCGAATATAAAGGGTATTGGGTTTTTAATTTCAAATTCCATTTGTTCTTTGCTGGTATATAGGAAAATGATTGACTTTTGTATACTAACATTGTATCCTACAACCTTGCTACAATCTTTTGCTATAATTAGTTCCAGGAGGTTTTTTTTCTTTCTATTCTTTGGGATTTTCTACATAGATAGGCATGTCATCTGTGAACAAACCAGTTTTTATTTCTTTCTTTACAATCTACATGCTTTTAATTTCCTTTTCTTATCTTGTTGCATTAGCTAGGAATTCAAGTATGGTGTTGGAAAGGAGTTGTGGGAGTGGACGTGCTTGCCTTGCTCCCAGTCTTAAGAGAATATATTTAGTTTCTCCTCATTAAGTATGATATTGGCTGTAGGTTTTTTTTTTTTTTTTAAATCAAGTTGAGGAAGTTTCTCTCTATTCCTAGCTGGCTGAGAGGTAGTTTGTTGTTGTTGTTTTTGCATTTTTGTTTGTGTGTGTTTGTGTGCGTATTTTGTCACGAATGGATGTTAGATTTTGTCAAATGTTTTTCTGCCCACATAGGGTTTTGAAAAGGTTAAATGAGCTAATACATCTGGAGCACCTAGCATAGGCACTGGCATGTAGCAAATGTTCAATATACATTATAATTGAAGGAAAACATTGTATGTCAAACATGCAGACTCCAGAACCACACTGCCTGGGTTCAAATTCTAAACCTTATCAGCTGCGTGATCTTGAGTAAGTTACTAAACTTCTCTGTGCCTCATTGTTCTCATCTATAATATAAGGATGATAATAGTGTCTCTTTCATAGAGTTGCCTAAGGATGAAATCTATGAGTTATTTGTAAAAATATTATAAAAGCACTTGGCACATAGCAAGTGCTATACAAGTATCAAATATTAATAATACTGTTGTCATATTATTATTAATGCTATTAACCTCATAGTCTCCCTGTTTTTAATTTCAGCCAGATTCCCACACGTTAGAGAGGCAGTTGAGAGCAGATGGTCAGAGGGTCTGGATTTGGGTCCCAGCTTTGCCATCTACTAGCCGTATGACATTGGGCAAGTGACATAAACTCTTTGTGCCTCGAAGAGTTACATGTACCTGCCTCGTGGAGTTAATGTGTGGATTAAGTGAATTCCACATGCAAAATGCTTAGAAAATGCCTGGCCCAAACCTGCTGGCTATTATGGTTGTTATTTCTGGAGTCCAGCTTCTCAGGGCCTGGTCTCTGGCTGGGTCACTCAGAGACCGTGGAGAATGAGACCAGTAGTCCCAGTCTGGGGATGGAGCCTGCAGCTGGGCATCGTCTAACCATCGAGGGTACCCTAGGGGTTGCCCGGGAGTCAGTGCGCCCCATCGCTGGAGGTGGTTAGTCAGGGGCTGCAGGTTTGGCTGGATGATCCTGAAACTTCTAAGCTGAGACTCTGGGACACCTTAGTGAGAGAGCACGGGGCTCAAGGTGATGAGACGATGCCTCGGGAATTTGCTTGGGGTCGGCTCTGACCCTGTTCCAGCTTTAATGAGAGCCATTCCACTTGTAACTGTTTTATATTTTGAGACGCCAGAGATTTTGTTTTTGGGAAAATATTGTCACTCTCACACAGCATGATCTTCCCAGAACTTAGCACTATGTCTTATGTGCAGTAGGAACTTAATAAATATTTGTTGATTGGATGAATAAGTAAGTGAATCCAACCTGAGTGGATGGCATAGGCCATAGTGGCTGTTGTGACAGAGACTGTATGGCCCTCAAACCTAAAATATTTATTACCCCATCCTTTACAGGTAATTTATTGACCCCTGAGCCATTGTTCATTTCAGTAAACTTCAAAGAATCAGTTAAAATAGTATTATGACTTGGGCCGTCCTTGCTTTTGTTTATTCACCGTTGGTTCGGCTTCTGTTTCCAGCCTCGTTGGTGCACTGGACTGCCCGCCTGTGTCCCCGTGGCTGGTTTGGTGGCTGTGGGCAGCAGTCCGCACATCAGGACACGATGACTGTGTGTGGGCGGTCTGCAGCACATCTGGCCGGTGCTGTTGCTGGCCCAGATGTGGGGCCTGCCCCGAGCCAAGCTGGCTTCTGGGCTCGGGCGGTGCAGGTGGTGGGTCTTCTGGGCGTGATCTGTTCTCAGGCGTGGTGTCACTTACTCCAGATGACAGTCCCTGGAGCTCAGCGTGGCCACACCGCCATTGTGCAGATCAAGAGACCGAGACCCAGAGAAGAGACCTGCTCGGGGCAAAGGGAGGAAGCAGGCTGACCTCCTCTTAGGGTCCGAGCCTAAGGTTCAGTAAAGGTGACTTGTGGTCTCAAGTGCTTTCCCCCGGAACACCTGGGGAGCGGGACAAGAGTGTCCACTGGGGCAGAACCGCTGGACCTCTCGGCCGTCTCATCTGTGTTGGTCCCCGCCAGAGGTTACAGATGTGAGCTGGACAGTGTGGGAATGCAGCTTCGCAGCAGTAATTAGTGTTATTCCTGAGGTCAGCAGTATAATAGTAGAAAAAATGTATTTCCTGTTCCAAGCCAAATAAGTAAGTGGCAGCCAGTTGGCCGGGCGCCATTGATGGGACTTCAGCCGTGCGTGTGCCTTGCCTCTTTGGCCACGAGTTTGGGCGGGAGAGCAGGAGGAGGATTGCTCCTCCTACAGGCCCCGTCCCTGCCGTCGGCTGGCGGCTTCGCTGGGAAGGCTCCCGACAGGGCT